AAGAAAATTGTTGATAGTAGTGCTTTTTAATACATGTGAATGAAACCAAGAATTAGTTAAAAGTATTGCAACTTAAACTAGTTTCAAGCGTTTCAATAAAAATATGCTGGCCAAACACTGTAGGTATGTGAAGATGGTTTTGTTCCCTTGAGAAAATTTGCAAAGAAAAATGAGAAGTCAGTTACTTCCTTTTAAAGGTCTACGGTTGTGTTAAAAATGAAATAAAACAAAATCAAGTATCTGAAATGTTTTTGATTGCTAGTAAGCAGAAACAAAATTTTAGTTTTCTGCTGTGACGTTATTTTTTCAAAGTAGTAGTTAGGATCAAGTTTATTTTCAGGAGAAATTTGGCCATAAATAAATCAAATTTTTTAAAATCCACTTGAACAGTTATTTAGGAATACAGTGTAGGAGACTCCTAGCTTATTAAAATGGAGGAAAACCCAAAAGCTGAAGTCCTTCCTGGCATTGCAGGAAATTGCTAGCAGTGTTCTATTTTTTAAGAAGTTGTTAGCTTTATTTGTACTGGTGAGAATAATATAGAAATGCGGTGATGKTATGCCTATTCCATAATGTGAACACACTGAAAAAGCTGTTACAATTCAATGTATGCAGTGCGCTGTGCAAAAGAGTCTTAAGTCATGATATGCTTAAAATAAGTGCGTAGCGGTGTCCTAATCAGGAGGGACTGCTGGCTGCACCCACGTCATGTGTTAAAGCTGCGTGAGTGCTGCTCAACCCAGGAGAGCAGAGTCAGCCGGGAAGTGAGCGAGCTGTGAGCCGSTGCTGGAGCTGCTTGGGCTGCACTCTGAGCTTGGCATGTGGGGCCTTTGATGTTGGGTGGGATCCTGGGGTCAAAAGAAGGGAGGCAGAGGAGGAGCCAGGCGTCCTGTTTGGAGGCTTGTAGCCTTGTTTGTTGCCTGTGGTTGGCATTAGCGTCACGCGGATGCTCCAGCGACGAAGCCGGGGCAGGCGCGAGGCCCAGCCTCAGCCCCGAGCTGCCTGTTCCAGCTGTGGCCTCTCCTGGGGCCCTTGTGGCTTCGCATCCCGCCGGCTGTAGGGCCCTGGGGCTGGCTGGGCTCGGAGCGCTCCCTTCACCGGCTGCGTGGCGAGGAGGCGGCCAGCGTTACCGGTCGCTGCCGCCCCGGCGCGGTGCTGGGTGCCCGGCACGTGTGAGGCGCTCGCCGTGAGCGCCAGCTGCAGCGCGGTGGTGTCAGCCGAGGCTCTTGTGCGGCACTCGAGACGTTGTCGGCGTTCAGACCAGAGCGCTGCCTTAGCAGGGACATGGCTTAGTGACCTGCCCTCCTCAACAGGCCACGTGGAAAACGATCCAACAAGGTGTCCCTGCAGCCTTGCCCTCCTCCGCAGCCCGGGAATTGCCCGTGCGGGACGGGGCGGCCTCGTGAAGTGGCCCAGGCCTCGTCCTGCTCGCTGGCTGCGGATCCCGGGACACAGTGCCGCGCGGTAGGGGCACCTGTGTCTGCACTGCTGTGGACGTGTTTTAAATGGGGCTTTTGCAAATAATGCTGCAAATCATGTAGCTGAAATTGCTGTATTACTAGTTGTAATATGCTATATGTAACACACTTTTTATTAAGCATGTTTTAATATAATAGCTAACAGCGCATTTGACGTGAAATCCCTAACTATCCCAAAGAAGCCGGACTCCTGGTCGCTCCTGTCTCTCTAGTAGCAGGATTCAGAGAAGCTGTCTAGGCTGGTAACTTACTTCTCCAACATTAGCATTGCATGACCAGTGGTTTCAGTGCATTTGCCAGCAGCTAAGAAATCCTTCCTCCTTATTCCTTGATTGCAGTTTCACTACATCCAAATTTGAGAAGTAATTTCCTTTCATCTCTTCCTCTTTGCTCTATGGCTTCCTCTGCTGTGTGGCCTTTACTGCAGACCAGTAGTAGGTATAGGTTCATTAACACTATTATAAATATAGTCGATACTCTTTTAGTGGACTCCAGCTGAGCCCAAACTGACTCACTGCCCTCCAGGGTGTAATCRGAGACTTAATTACCCTTGTAGTGCTCAACAGGAGCTGCGTTGTGGGCAGCGTTGCTCTTTGGCTGGGGAGGTGGAGGATCCTTTCTCTACTGGCTGCCATTTTCAGGCTTCAAGAGAGGCATTTGAGATTGGTCTGCAACTGCGTAGTAACTGAGGATAAAGCAGTTCTCTGGCAGATGGCAATTGGGTTGAACCCGTTTCAGTACAATGCTCACATAGGTTTTCCTTGGATGCTGAAAGCATTCCTTGTGGTTGTTGAGGGCAGAAATGTACCTTGAAAGGGGGGAAAAGAGGAGGGACGAGTCATCCTTCGTTGAGGTGGCTTGTGTTGCAGCACATCCCCTTGCTCCAGGCCAGAGGAGGGATCTGAACGGCAGCTGCTCCCCGCGCTGGTGTGGCGAGAGCCGCACTGCGGCCTCTGCGAGACACCCCTGTCCCTATTTCGGTGTTGCTGTAATTTCCCTACTAATGTTGCCTCTGATTTAAGCTAAATGCCATGCTGGGTAACATAGCAGTCGTGTGATTCAATGCTTGATGGTCTCCTCTGGCTTTCATGTATTGTGCTGTGTGCTCTATTCTGGAGACTTGTCATGCATGTGMCAACACTGGGGTTTCTGGAGAGGTCTCCCATTTTAGCAGGTCTGTACCAGAGCACAAAGTGATTTTATCTTTGAGATTTAATCTTTGAGAGCCTAGCGCAGCTTTCCACCAAACAGTGCTGTGACTTTCTAGCTGGAAAGTGAGGGTGAATGATATATTAATTCTCCCCCTTATGAGAGGAGTGGATGATAGAGCCTGCTTTGGGGCAAAGAGACGAAACAGATACAACTTTTTAACAGTAGGTTAAGACATCACTAGCTCCAAGTCTGACTGTGCATACATCCCGTATGGGGTATGTTCATTACGAGGATTTCCAGTGACTTTTAGTGATTTGGTCCCTGTCTGTCATTACCCTCGTTATTTACTGGAACACTAGTGCAATATTTGCCTTGCCCCACCTCCAGGGGCTCTTACCTGTCCCTAGGAAATCCGTGGGGAATACGGAGCGATGGCTGCACTGATGCCCTTAACTGCCTGMGTCACGGCAAGAGCTTCCTTGCACTCAGCCACCTCTGGAAACACTCAGGCATGCTATAAAGACCTAAAACCMACAACAACAGGAACAAAAATAATAATAATTAAAAAAACCCACAGAACAAACATTGTCAAAAAGAGACGGAGAAGGAGGTAAAGTAGGAGGCATCATTCGGAGCAGAAAGGAAAGAGGAAGGCTCCACAGGAGTCACAAATTCTGGTTTAGTCATCATTTRTCTCCACAGTGATGAAGGGACTTGCTTGAACATTGCATCACTTGCAAATGTTAGGCACTGAAGCCATCGTCTGAGCTTTTAAATGAGATTAGGAGGATGGTTAGCCTTCTAAGAGAAAAATGTTAAAGACAAAGGGACTGAGCAGACTTACTGCTTGCAATGTGTAAAATATATCCTTATTCACCCTTGGTTCTGTTTAGGTGCTGTCAGGGTAGACATTACACGTCAAGCATCTTATGTAGAATTACTGCTTTCCATTCATTTTCCCTAATTATTTGTTAAGGGAAAATATTCATTTTTCTAATATAATTCATTTCAATATTTTAATGATTGCATTATTATATAATTCAATTTGAGTATTTTGAAACAAACGGGTCAGTTTCAATTCATAGCTATGCTCTAATACTGTGGTTTTAGGGAATTAAGCATTAAGGAATTTGTCTGCAATTTGCTAGTTGCTTGTAAAACGTGTTTGTTATTTCGTTTTAACTTACACATTGCTATTGCTGTTATTAGGCTGTCAGTCACTTGGGACATAGGCAGACTTTAGTGTGTGTGCTGGCAGTATTGGGTGCAATGCCACTGCTGTTCCTGAGCGACCTGCACTGGGTGCTGTAGAGAGGCAGAGGGGCAAGACCCTGCCTAGTCCCTGATGCTGGTGCCCCACGTGCGTGGCAGGAGGAGCGGGCTCGCCCTGTGCATGAGCATATGCACAAATAAAAGTACAATTTACTAATTAATAATGTGGAAACCAGTAAATGTCACCGAGATACACATTGTGGTTAGGAGCTTAACAGTTTCCCTCACTGGATTTAGCATATTTAGCATTAATTCTGTTAGGTGTATGGATTGTTTTAATTTGAAATGCATCGCCTATATTCACTTTGCAATCCCCAAAGCTTTCCTATGAAAAGAACTCTGAGACATCTTTACTTGTGTCTGTGGACAAAGCTAATGGAAAAACCCAGTCCTCTCATCCACATATTTATCTGAAAGATGTGTTGTATATCTGCAGTTGATTTTCTAGAATGCTGATTAGCTAATACTGTTCTTGGCATGCAGCTTATCCATCGTGTGGTAGAACGCCATCTGAATTTCAATTTAGTCTTCCAAATGATGTTGAATTGCTATTCCTTTAAGGCTCTTCTGGTCATTTGGGGACCCAGTGCAGACAGTGGAGCTGCAGTCTAGTCTCAAAATCTAATTGAATTGATATGAGGCAGCTGAAGCAGTGATTGTTGAAGAGCTTGAGACAGATTGCAAAAAGAAGACAAAAAAAGAAGACAAAAAAACAGAAGTGCTTCTGAGCAACTTGCATAGTGTTCTTGTCTGAAAGGCTGCCTCTGAGCTTGTCTTTACTGTGATTGGTAGCAGAGCTCTGTGATAAAATTCCTATATCTGAATATATTTTCTCCATCCTTAAGTCAAGGACCTCATTCATTCTGTCTTGTTTGATATGGTCACCTTGCTATTAATAAACAAAAAAGGGAACAGCAAGCCTTTAAAAGTAGTAGGCTCATACCAAAAAAAAAAAAAAAAAAGAAAGAAAAGAAAAGAAGAGAAAAATGAGTAGAGTTAAGGTAATGCCTGATGTTAATCCCCTTTTGCCCACTAGCAACTTCCCACTATTTCAGCTTCTGAATCCTCACCCTCTCTCTCACACCTTTGTTTTCACAGTGATGGGTCTTTCCCTTACGATTCTGTTCCTTGGCAGCAAAATACCAACCAGCCACCAGGTTCTTTATCCGTGGTCACCACAGTATGGGGTGTGACTAATACCTCTCAAAGCCAGGTAAGCTTTGGTTCGTGTTCCCTCTCCCCCAGGTGTGAGTAGCGAGTCATGTCTGCAGAGCTGGAAGTTCTTTTGGAGAACACCTCTGTGCTCGGGAACGTCGGGCGAGTTCTGCTTGCCAGGCAGGCTGGGGTTTTCTGCAGCTGTGTTTGCTTTGGTGGTCTCAGGAGATCTGCCAGAGCTGCATGGTTTAACACTAAAAGCGTGRCTTGGGGTAATCCCCAACTTCTTGGGAATTCCAGATGCAATATGAAGAGCGGTTTCCATAGAACTGAATTTTCTAGATACATTCACAACATGGCAGTTCCTGACATTTTTACTCAGGGTTGTGCCATACTAATAGYGGGCTTTCAAATCCTCTGCCATTTGAAAATCCTCTGCCAGCTCTGCCTCATTGCTGAGGCTCTGGCTACGGGCTGGAGGGTTGTGCCCTTCCCCGACCCTCCTGTTAATGCTTCCTTACTCTGCAAGGAAGATTTCAGCATGCACTGGAGCAAAATCATGATCCTGGCTTCCAGACGAGAGCCGTACTAATTGGATGTTCATTCTCTTCTCTCTGTCCTTACATCTCTTTTTCTTCTCCAATGCATATTGAATTATGCTGTGAAAAGAGAAGCAGCTTTAGTCAAAGCGACTTTTGCCAATTAGGAGCGATGGTCTGCCCTCCGAGGGATGTGGCACAAATCATGCCCTCAGACACTGCATCCTTTTCTTATACCATGRATGAAGTGCTGCTCTTACACCATGAATGAAACACATCACCATGTATTATGTCTGCAAACAGCACATAAATATAACCTGACCGTTGCACTTTTTTTTTCCTCCATATTGAGCATCAGTAAATTCCATATGATTTTTTTTTCTAGCTTTTTTTCTCCCCTTTGTTTAGGAAAAAATATTCTGATATTAAAATAAAAGGACAATTTCATTGTAGATTAAGGCATTTTAAAACTAAAAGACATTATTTTGGGGCCAGGTCACATAGACAGCCACATGAGTTACATCAATACTGGTTGCAGCAAAAACTTGTTYGAAAAAGTAAAAACAGGTAGCAAGTTATAAGACCTATAATATCAGCTGTTATTGTTGGTTTCTTTTTGACATCCTAAAAGAAAAGGTACCCCATCCAGGAGGGAAGCAACCGAGGAAATACTAGTTTGTAGAACTGGAGTGGCATGGGGCAGAAAATGGAGTTAGTACTAAAAATAATGTTCAGTTCACACATAATAATAATAAAAAATGCCTCATAATGTTTCATACCGTCTTGAGACATYGTTGTGTTACTTAAACACTTCACAATACTTCAGAGCAACGTGCTTTGGTGAGGAAGAGGAGGAAATGCTTTCTTCCAAGTCATCGCATGGAAGGGGGGAAGCTCTGAAACGTGAATTTTGGTTATAGCTGTTCTGAGTGTTACAGTTTCCTGTGAGTCTTTCCACTCCTGGAGGGAAAGGAGGGAAGAGCTGAACTCCTGGATTCCAGGTCACAAATTCCCAAAAGGAATGAAGTCAACCCTGAGGTGTGACTTGGCCTTTTGCAAAAACTCTGATTTTTTTCTTCCAAAATCAAGAGAGATGTTCAGGCAGGTAATCCATGAACCACCATGCTTTTTTTTTCTCAGTGGGAGTCACAGCATTTTTAGTTCAAATAAAAACCAAATGCTTCCAACAAACAAACCGGGTGCTTTTAAAAACACAGTGTTTTGTTCCCTAAGAAGTGCTAAAAACTAACAAATAGACTTCTGTGCACTTTAGAGAGATTTAGATTCAAGAAAGGATTAAGTTTTTGAAATACTTCTACACAGTTTTTGCATCTGTAATTTCCTTTACAGTATGCCTGTGGGACTGAATATCTGCAAGACATGTTCAAGTACTGCATCAAAGACAAAACATCTTCTCTTCATCAGATGAACTTGTCACCTGTAGAACACGTTCTAGCAGTTCCTTACTGCAACTTTTAAAACAAGGGTGTTTGTTAACTAGATGGTATCCGGAGTAGGTCCTGTGAAGGAGAATTGGAGATCAGGCTCTTGTTAGTTTGAAATGGCAAAAAAAGATCATCAGAAATCATTGCACTCAGACTCCGACAGGTGCCTGTTTCTGCAGTTCAGAATATGGCATGGTTACGTTGTAGTGTGCTGAATTCAGCAAAGCCACTTAACTTAAAGCAGTTTGCTTGAAGTAAATCAAGGTACAGCTCCTCATTCTGATATTTCTACTCACAGGTGCTGGGAAACCCGATGGCAAATGCTAACAACCCTATGAACCCAGCAGGAAATCCCATGGCTTCTGGGATGACTACCAGCAACCCTGGCATCAATTCCCCTCAGTTTGCTGGGCAGCAGCAACAATTTTCAGCCAAGGCAGGCTCCACTCAGCCATACCTACAGCAGGGCATGTATGGGCGGCCCAATTATCCTGGAAGCGGCGGTTTTGGTGGGAGGTAAGATTTGTTTGTGGGAGGTGGGAAATGATGTACACGTTTGGTGCAACCTCTCGTGATAGTGACCAGACAGAAGTGTTGTGGGCTTATTTGGGTTATGTAGGCTCAGTAGTTATTTTATGCTGGCTAAATGAAGCGCATACTGTTTCCCCAGCTTCAGAAATCAGCTACCCAGGCTGCAATGAAATTCATCACAGTAAATGGAAATGGCTTAGGTCAATCAATTAGCTCTAATAAACCCCCAAAATAAAGTTTTAATTAACAGAGATTGTTAAACAGACCACAGGCTTAGGAATAATTAACATTTAATAAGGCCAGGATGTGAGAGGTATTGATGGTATAATTTCTTCGCCTGCATGGGGAAGTGAGCTTGAGTACGAGGCACCGGGAAGCTCCTGTGCATGGGGTGTTTCTGACAAAAGAGGTGCTCCACAGCAAAAATTTGAAGAGACATAGGGGGAAGATTTCTATTAAGAGATGAGCTCGTGGTTTTTTATTTGGGAGAAGTGAATGCTACATTTGTAAAATATGCCAAAATTTAATAGCCGGGGTTTTGTTAGATTTTGACTTTCTCTGCCCATCCCTTGTGAGTAAGGATATTAAAACCAGCTTAGCTGGACTGGAGCAACACTTGCATCCCATTTACACACCTGCAACAGTTCCGGGGGAGCTCAGGCCTAAGTACAAATACAAACCCAGACACTAGTCGTGCTTTAATTTTGTTTATTTCTTTTTCTCTCTCTTTCTCCTTTTGCCTGCTAGTTACCCCGGCGGCCCCAACGCCCCTGCGGGAATGGGGATCCCGCCGCACACGAGGCCGCCGGCGGATTTCACGCAGCCAGCGGCCGCCGCCGCCGCCGCTGCCGTTGCTGCAGCCGCTGCCACGGCCACGGCCACGGCCACAGCCACCGTGGCCGCCCTTCAGGAGACCCAGAACAAGGACATGAACCAGTATGGACCGGTAAGAGAGGAACCCTTATGCATCATCCCCACCTGCTTTGGATAGTTGTGAGGAGTGAGTTTTCCTTACTCCTCCACTCCTTAGGGCGCCTGCTCTATTCTTTGTGCATGGATGGCCTATAAGTGCTTGCAGGAGGCTGCTGGAATGTGTGTTTGYACATATGAATCAATCCCCAAAGTACCCAGGGCTTTCCCCAACACGTGTTGCCTGCCTGTGTTTTGTGGTTTGAAGACTGCCACTCAAAAAAGTCAAAGATTAGCTGAAGTTACAGCCACATCCAACATGATATATTGTTCCTGCCCTGTGAACTTTTAGACGTGGGACCCAGTGAGATGTTGCTGAATCTTGGAATAGGTTTTGTAATTAATAATTTAATGTTGTCAGTTGCAGCAGGTAGTTTCTTTTCTCCACTTAAAGTAGAATAAGAGATATTTCCTCTTTAATAATGTTGTCCATGAGAACAACTTTGAGAGATGTGTTTTTGGTGCATCATGCATGAGATGACTTCCTGTACTTTTTTGTTTTTGTTTTTTTCTTAAAATAAATGAGGGTTTGATCAGTTCAGTTAAAAAAAAAAAAAAGAAAAAAGAAAAAAAAAGCTCAGTGAGTTTTGAAATGCATGGGCTGCTATGGCTGATGACATGAAGAACTACAATCTCTTGGAAACTCTGTTTACCAAGCCAACTGCCTAACCCCATTGCCTTAGAGGAGCAGACCAGCCTCTTTAAGGGGTTTAATTGCTCACCATAGGCTAGTGCCTCTGTCTCTCCTCTTACACCTTGTACAATTTCAACCGAACTTGTATTATCAATAACATCACCACCCATCCAAGGCTGAAGAACATTTAAAGAAAATGCGACATAACTCCGTCCCTTCTCCCCTCCCCGAAAAGCATGTTCAGCCCTCCTCCCATTTTAAATGCATGTCGCATTTTATTCTTTTTTTTTTTTCTTCTTCTTCCGTTGAAGGTTTGTTCCTCTTTCCAGATGGGTCCAACTCAGGCCTACAACAACCAGTTTATGAACCAGCCCGGTCCTCGCGGCCCTGCTTCCATGCCAGGCAACATGAACCCGGCGAGCATGGGAGCAGGAATGACGCCCTCCAGCATGAGCGGGCCGCCCATGGGCATGAACCAGCCTCGGCCCCCTGGCATGAGCCCCTTCAGCACCCACGGGCAGCGGATGCCTCAGCAAGCCTACCCGGGCCCCCGGCCCCAGTCCTTGCCTATACAGGGCATAAAGAGACCGTACCCGGGAGAGGTAGGAAATTCCCTGATGCTGTGTCACTTTGCATGCAATGTTATTTTGGCTGAAAGCTGCAGCACGCTGGGTGTCGTGTGGCATACGTCCCTGTGAAGGTGAGAGCTTCATTTGAGCACATTACATATGTTGTCTGCATTTCCTCAGATTGTTTTAATGTTCTAAGGAAATGCAGGGCATATGTTGTATAAACATCAATAGTAATAACATTTATTTTAAAGATCAATTGCTTTCCAAACTTCCCGAGGCTTGATTTTCATAGGTGCTGGAATAACTATAAATCATGCTGAGCTCAAATTCCTCTGTGCTTGCACTTATCTAATATAAGTTTATTTGGAGTGTGGTATTTCTGTCTACGTTCCCCTGCTGTTATGTGAGAGCTGAGTGGTTTCCCAGAGAAAATTATAATCCCATTGACTTGTATTAAGTCTTTGGGTGAGACACTTCGGCTCTGAATATGAGAAATCTGTCACATAGAAAGATGACAGAGAAAAAAAAACACCACTAATGTCCTCAGTTACTATTGAAGGTGGAACTGGGCAGCAGATGCTTTTGAGAACCCCACCTCTTGGCATCTACATGCCCCTAAGTGTCTTTACAATTCTTACCACCAAGTAAAAGCTTTAGAGATAACCTCCTGGTGAAATTATGTACTAAGTCTCCAGCAATATCTGTTACTCCTGTTGTAGAGCTCTGAATATTATTACATCACTTGGACTGTAGGAATGGTAGTAAGAATTCATAGTAAACAGTACAAAAAGAGTACAATGGTGTGCATAAAGTGTAGTGAACATTTATTATTGAGCTACATTTAAGTATTCAAGATTCAGTTTTCCTGGTCTGCAAATGAATTTTTGAACAAATAATAATAATAAAAGACATAAAAAATTATGTGCTCCTGCAGGAGTTGCTTCTCTAAGAAGGCTTTTCTGCTCTGTAAATAYTGTCACACTTACTCTATAAATAAGTTAACATAGAATGCGGCTTTTCAGATAATTACTTTTTATCTTGASATTTCATGTTTTAGGGAAGACTGTAAATCCCTTTTTGCTGCCTCAGAAGCAGGTGTGTCATTGCAAGTAAATATAATCACGGCCCAAAAAGTTAATACCAAACAGTGCCCTAAGTGCTAGGGGCTTGTTTGGCTGGTGGTGTGCACATTCGGTCGATGATATTTGTTCATTGATTTTTGAAAGCTCTCTCTATGGAGACACCATATTAATCAGTGGATTTTCAAAGGGCTATCTTCTTACCATTATGGTTATGATTGTCATGACTTTGACCCCAGCAGTGCAGCGCAGCACCAGCTAGCACTAGCAAGGTGCTTTTGGCCACCTCTAACTTGTATTGAGCTGTTAGGTGGTTAAAGTACATGGTTAGTCTCTTATCTTGCTTTGGTTTACRGGACTTTTATGCATTGGAGTATTCATCTCCAACCACCAGGGCCTGATTTTATGTGTGATTGCCATTATGACCACGCAGATTCACCTGTAGGTTCTGTTGGTTGGTTGGTCTGATGTTTGTTTGGTCTGCATGAAACAGATTTTTGTTTTCTTTCTTTTGTCGTGAAATAGCCAAATTATGGAAACCAGCAGTATGGACCAAATAGCCAGTTTCCAAACCAGCCTGGTCAGTACCCTACTCCCAACCCTCCAAGACCCCTTACGTCTCCCAGCTATCCTGGACAGAGGATGCCAAGCCAGCAAAACACAGGGCAGTACCCTCCACCCACAGTCAACATGGGGCAGTATTACAAGGTAAGAGTTCCTAGGTTATCTGATTGCATTCTGGTAGAAGTTCACGAATGAAGACAGATGAATGACTAAAAATGACTTCGTCGATACTGGTTTTATGTAATTAAAGGAAAGAAAGGGTTAAAAAACAGTGTTTATAGTAGTATCTTGGATATCACAGCATCAAGTTAATAAGCCAAGTCATGCTGTGACTTCAGAATTGTTTGTGAAGAGAACTGAGTGTTGCTGCAGCTCATTTGGGGGTATTACAGGAGAATGTTTGTTTCACTTTACATTTATAAACATGCTATATTTAATTAATGCTATGAGTGCTTGGAGTGTTTGAATAAATAAGTACATAATGGGACTTTTGATCTATTCACGGCACTCTACAGTAAAACAGCTTGGAAACTTATAAGAGACAATTTCCACATTGCAACAACCCAAGTTCTGACCTACAGAGCCACTGTCAGAACCACTAAACCAGCCCACAGTTAAAGGTTCTTGCAGTTGCAGAATCATCTTTAAAACAATGTTTGACTTTTTTCTACTATCTTTCCATCCTTCCTTCCTTCCTTTTTTTTTTCCCCTCTGTGCCCCTTGTTTGGGGCAAGAGTTAGAATTGTTAAAATATTGCATAAAACCTCTTTCATGGATATATCCTGAGTACTTTGGATTGTCCAAATTATTGGACAATCAAATACTGAGGACCATCTGAGGTTGGGCAGCTTTGTATGGACTGAGGGCCTCTTTTGCACACAGGTACTCCAGTGAGTATGAAAACTGGGAGGAGCATCAATGTGACCTACTCTTAAAATATTAGCTGTTCAAGTCTCTGCCTTACATTTTATTTTGAATCTAGGCTGAAAGAGTTTAAGATACATGGTGATCTTGAAATGGAATTGTTTTAGTGTGATTCCCGCAAGGGCAAAAATGAAAAAGAGAGCAAAAAGTCCCCTTTACCAGGGATGCACCCAAGGGAAGACTTGTTGCACAGGGGCAACTTTTACAGTTCACTGTCAGAGAGGCCGTGACAAGGAAGATGGATGATCAGCCACGGCGAATGCGGCTTCAGTGCAGCCACGTGTGCTGTAATGGCAGCAGATCTTCTCTCAGAAGTTTTAAAATGATAGATTTTAAAAATCTGTTTTACATGTGCTTATTTTGGGTGGATTTTATGATTTCTGTTTATAGACTAGTTCTGTCAGGCACTCTGGTTTTTGAACAGCATCCCAAATTTCACATTCAAATGTAAACTATTCTGGAAACAGTGAGAAAATAAGAGACCTTGTCAAGAAGGAAATGATCTGGTCTAGGGGGCAAAATTCCACATTGCCATGGACAGGACCTGTACCTTCAGACCATAAAGATTGTATGGAAATCTTGGATGGAAATTGTATGTGTTAAAAAAAAAAAAAAAAAAAAAAAAAAAAAAGATGATTGGGACCATAAATACCTAAGATTTCAGAATATAGCACTCTCCTTGTGTACTTTACAGTACCCTAGGCAAAACAGTACAGCTTTTAGATATAAAATCAAATCTGAAGCCCTGAAACTTGGGCTGCCTGTAAAGCTTTTAATCTTTGATRTTCTGCTGGATGGTAGTAGACCAGCTCTTGCAAGAAGATACCAGCAGTTGCCTCTTTGTTCAATGTCAGCTTCACTGACATCGTTGCTGTTAGTTTATTTTGTTATCTGCAACCCTCCCCTGAATTGCAAGAAGCAAAAAGAGTGGTGCTTTAATATTATGGCCGCTATTCAAAATTACCAATCAGTTTTATTTTGGTTTGTCTTAATCCGTAGCAAACTAAGAGCAAAGGGAAACTACTCTTTGTAAATGTACAGAATAAAAGGTAGAAGATGAAGAGATGCACAGGGCTGCCTGGGTAGGAGAGGTGTGGAGAGGCCGCAGGGAACGGCAGGTTGCTGTCGGAGGAGCGTGCAGGGGACTGCAGGAAGGTCTTCAGCAGCCGTGCTGYATGTGGCTGTTGCTTGAATTCAGCTGGCTGGTCTGCTGGTTTCGGTTCCTGCCTCGCTCTTCTGGTCTGCCTTTTTCCTGGAGGCCCCGTGGGTACACTCTGTGGTTTCTCACCCTTCCAGAGACAGAGGCACCCTACATGACTCGTAGCCTTCAGTATTTCAGAGCAGTACAGATCACAAGGCTTGTTACTCTTATTTTCTGACTGTAGTAACGATGTGATGTTATTTATTTTCTAGCCATCAAGGCCTGTACCTGTGGCAAATTACCCTCATTCACCTGTTCCAGGAAACCCCACACCACCTATGACTCCAGGGAGCAATATTCCTCCATACCTGTCACCCAACCAGGATGTCAAACCACCATTCCCACCTGACATTAAGCCAAATATCAATGCTTTACCACCACCTCCAAGTGAGTAGCAAACAGAACCCTCCTTTAGATGTTTATTCTCTGCTGCGGTGTTGCAGGGTCTGGAAGCAAGGTGGGATTGCTGCTGTGGGCAAGGGCAGGCTGGTAAGCCCTGGGTGGTGTGGCCCCACCACACAGCATAGGCTCCCAGAGTCGGTGGGCAGGAAAGAGAATATTACTGTTCCCTCACCACTTCTGAAAGAGAGTATCAGAAAAGTTCTTAATCTTGTAAGGGTTTTACTACCAAAGTATTCCTTTGATGTGCTTCCTGAGGATAAAACACTTAATTTTGAGTTGCTTTACACGTGTTTGGTAGGCTTGTTTATTGTATAAACTTCCATTGTGGTACATTTTGCTCAAGGACAAAGCCGTTCATTGAACATTGCTGCAAAATAGCAAAGACTGTGAATATTTATAACGGTACCTCTATTGTGTTCCATACAGACTTCTTAAGAATATTCAGTAGYATGCCAAAAATTGATATATGTTCCTTTCAAAGCCACTCAACCTCACAGCTACGTTTGGCTGGGAACAGTACAGGAATAACAAGATCTCTCTGGCACAAGATGTTTGAGGTTTTGAAGTGACTGATGAACAATAGGAGATATCATTTACTAGGGAATAGGGAGAACTCGTATATTTTCTATAAAAGGACCTCTGCTGCATTAGCAGTTTGCTACCAATGCTTGGAGTTTGGGAAAGCTGACAAATGAGGTAGTGAAAGGTGACCTGCAATATTATTTGTGCAAGAACACMGTGTTTAAAGACATTTGGCCCCCAAAGATGAGCTGTAAGATATATACCATAAAACCTCCTGTTATGAGATCAATAGTAATTGAGTAAGTATTCAATTACTATTCAATCCAAGGTCATCGGTCACTGGATAGTTACGGCTGATGAAGCAGTCGAAACTAATTGGCCAGTCTGTATCCCAGTTCAAGCAGAAAAATAGCTCAGCATCACCACAGTTGGCCCTAATTAAGAGCCTTGTTGTCAATCTTCTGCTAACAGAGTAAGCCTGGACACTGAACCTATCCAGCAATAAAAGCAAGCACTTGCCAGGTCTGGTTTATGTTTGTGGTCCAGAGTGGTAGGGTCCTACTGGTGAGAGGGCCAAAGTAGCAGAGTGGAGTTTGCTGTAGCTATCAGCCTGAGCCCTCTCACTTGTATAACTGCAATAATGTAGTTAACCTGGGATTTTCTTGTCTGTGTGAACCTGCCGAGTTAAACCCAGTAGCAGATCGCTGTGTCTTTTCCCACTATTCTGTATAAATATCCGCATTGTTATTGCACCGCAGATGCTAAAGGGAAAGTTCACGCTTTCTCTCCCTCTTCGATCCCAGCCAACCACAACGACGAGCTGCGCCTGACATTCCCCGTGAGAGACGGGGTTGTCCTGGAGCCCTTCCGGCTGGAGCACAACCTGGCAGTCAGCAACCACGTCTTTCACTTGCGGCCAACTGTTCATCAAACGCTGATGTGGAGGTGAGTTCGGTCTGGCTGTGAGGAAGTCGTGTATCACTCGGGGGAAAAATGACACACCAGCTGAACTTCATTTTGGTCTGCCGCGAATTTCACTTAAAGAATTGTGGCCTAGATGGAAAAAAATCACTTTAATTAAGCTCATAGATATTCCCACCTGTCACGTCCCAGAGAGAGTGCATTATAATGTGCTTCCTGATTTATGTTGTGTCCCATTGCTAATAGCACACTGCATGCCTGCAGTGTCTGGAAAATAATTGTAACTGTTCCTGCATTTCTACCCTGGTACAAGGATGAGCGACGTGCCTACCTGGCACCAGTATAGACTTCATTTTTGTGGACTTTGAAATCCTAGATGCTTTGCGACTTGTGAAATGCTAGTTGCAGGAGAAACAAGGCAGGACCATTATAGTTTCTGCTGAAATTAAATGGCGCAAACTGTCYGATAATGAAAATTGACAACAGGAAAAACAGCACCCAATTCAGAGGCTTGGGGAGGCTATTTGGAAGTATAAGTGCTTAGATACTTTAAAACMTCAGGTACTAGCTTTCTAAATTTCTAACTCCACGAGAGAGTGTAGGCCAGAAAGAGGGCACAGCTTTCCCCATACAAAGTCTTACAGTAAGAACCACCTGTCAGCGTGGAGGAAGTTTTTCTGGGTGAAGCTTTATTGCACATATTTCACATATTAGCCTACGTGATTGAGACTATGTGTTGATTCCATCATGCTTGTAGAATGGCTTGGAAGTCAAATCACAACCAGAGCCTTGATCTTTCTTCATTTTTAAGGTTTTAAATACTTGTTTTCTCGTTCTGTTTTTATCAGAAACTATTTCAGTGTTGCCCTGTTTGCTGACTGTACTATTTGGATGTGTCTCTGGACACTGTGGAGATCAGCTGGTTTCTTGGATGGAGATTGTTTTGCAGGTGTAGCAGCTGAGCCAGTGAAGCCTGTGTCTTCAGCAYGCTTTGCTGAAGACCATACCTGCCTCCCATTCCGTTTCTCTTAGAGCGTGGTGCCCCTTGGTCTTTAAAGTCAGTAACACCTTGCATCCCAAGCGTTTTTCTACCTGAGGATGATCTCCCCGTTCAGGGGCGTTTGTCTGAGGCCGCTGTGGCGTGGCGGGGCCGAGCGGGGTGCCGAGCAGGAGACGGAGCCCTCCCCGTGCCCGGGGTCGGGAGCCGGCGCCAGCGGGGACAGAGGCTTCACACAGGCCACGTCCAGTAATTAACACCTAGCTTGGAGGTCAGTTACTGCTTGCTTGCATTTCATTAGCGTGGAGCACTCGCAGCACGGGGAGCCTCGGCAGTTATTTGCTGGTTCTTATTAATAAGTAATCACTACTGGGGATTGTGCTGGCTCATTCGGTAGATTTATAGTGCTGCACTGAGGCATGAGGCTGTTGCTTAATATCTGCTCTGTCTTTCCTAGCTCACCGAACACACGGCCTTTTATTTAAACTTACTTTAATGAAGACTCATAGGTAGACTGTGTTTGGGTCTGCTGTTCTGGGAAGCTTGTTAACAGTAGGAGAAGGGATGGTCCTGTAATGAAGTCATTTCAAATTTACCTCAAGGCTGGATAACTTCCAAAAAAAATGAATTAGTCGCATGTGTGGATGGATTTCGTTTTTATAGCAAATGATGGAGTGGAGCCAATTCTGAATATTTTTCTGCCAGTTAAAATATCGGGTAAAATTCTTCAGTTGTGCACACATAATGACTAGCAACACAACTATTTTCTTTTCCCATTGGGAACTCTTCCTGGTTATGAGGAGCAGAAGGTTGAAGGCAGGAATAGTGCTGCCTTGACTGGCCCAGTGTTAGCACGGCTCAGTTATGGATAATGTGGCACTGCAGAGCCTTGTGCCTGCTGACACGAGGGGCTCCTGATCCCTGTCATCACCATTGCTTCCAGCAGACCTCAAGAGTCTTCAGGGATGCTTTTAATGTGCCTGGTTTTCACATTAGAGGCACCATTTTTTTGAATGTAGAAAAGACAACACTAACTCATACTGTCTATCCACTTAATTTATGGTTAACTTCCTCTCAGCCTCTCCCTTTCTTTGGAGGTGGTATAAGCCTAATTTTAAAGGAGATAGTAATGTGTGGAATTTAGTGGAAGAAAGATGGGAGACAGTGATCCTCTGAAAGAAACTCCKAGTTGGGGAGATTTAATCCATGGCTGTGTTAGCCTAGAATCACTGAAACGTGTGAAGTAAGAAATAGGGATCACGTTACCTTTGTCGCTCACTTGATTGAAGGCAGGACTAGCTGTACCTGAAAATGCTGTGCTTGGAAAGAGTTTGTTCAACTGCTGTTTGAAAAGCCCCAAAGCAGTGAAGTACCCGTGATCTTTCAGTGCAAGCTCGTGCTGTATTACACTTTGCTGTTCTCACCTCTAGCACGCTGAAAGGCCTGGATGAACTCAACGTTTTCTTTCTGCAGGAGCATTCCACAGTCTGTTTGCATCTGCAAAGTGRCTTGACTTGAGGTGTTCCCTTGGAAAGTCCTTTATGAGTGTAAAATATTATTAGTAATTTTGTGATGTTTTCAGGTCGTTAATTCATCATGACGTTCTGCTTCTTTATGAAGTATGCTGTATCTCTTATTTACAGTAATTCCAGAATAGTCTCACTGATCAGAAAAAAATATTCCTAGCATCTAAAAGACTTCCCTCCACAATGGAGAATAAAAATAGGAAAAAAAAGATTTATCGGTTGTTTTACAGGTCTGACTTGGAACTACAGTTCAAATGCTACCACCATGAAGACAGACAAATGAACACAAACTGGCCAGCGTCAGTGCAGGTCAGCGTTAATGCAACCCCACTTACCATCGAGCGTGGCGACAACAAGACATCTCATAAACCTCTGCACCTAAAGCACGTCTGCCAGCCAGGAAGAAACACGATTCAAATTACAGTCACAGCATGTTGTTGTGTAAGTACATTGAGCTCACGGCTGCAGCTGCTGCTGCTGACTCTGCTGTTCGGTGCAGTTTGCAAGTGCAGCTGGAGATGAAGGAGCCTTCCTCTCCTTTCTTCCATCCTTCTTTCTGGGAAGGTGCCTGCTTGTACACTAGTACAGAGTGCTAGTACTGACATTTTTGCTGTAGAATTATTGTAGAATCTAGTGCTCTCCTCCCAGCGTATCTGAAAAGACCCATAGTCTAGGGCAGGAAAGGATTTTGATCTCTTGCCTATTTAATATTTGCTTGTGAAATAAAAAAAAAAATGTTGCTAGCAGATGTTAATATAAAAGTGGGATATTTTGCTGCAGCCACTTGTCCACTAGTAACTTTGAGTAATTTTGTTTACTTAGAGGATCACACTGCAATTGGTTTGACACAGTAACTCATCCCCATCATTACTGGCCATGGTGAACTTTCCCCTTTCTCCTTGTACGCAGTTCGGCTGCTCTCAGGAACAATTACTGTGGTTATAGTGCAGGCAGTTAAATGCGCTACAGGCTGAGAATTTGACTGTTCTGTTGTCACTGACAAGAAAGGAAGCTGCTATCCTTCCCAAGGTCACAGTGAGAGGAGGCACTTTGACAGAAAACCATCCACCCACTTTGCTTTGCTTCACACCGACTCTTCTGTGCGTAACATCATTTATCTGGTGGCTAAGAGCAGGGGTAGTGTCCTATGAATCCACAATGAGCTCTTGCTACTCGCTGGTGGGGAGGACGATTCAGTGAGTTCCAGATACGTTAACAGTAAATCGTTTGTGCAACTTCCAGCATAGTTTGAGGGCAGACAGGTAGGGAAGATGATGTCAGGGAATCCAAGGATTTAAGAATCAACCCAGATACAAAAGATGAATGCATCGTTGTTGTATATTCTGAATATTAAGAACCAGGGAAGTACAGGAAGTGTCTCTTTTTTTTTTTTTTCTTAAAGCCAATATAGTCAGTGGTAAGTGTTTTACACTCCTGCAATCTGGAGCAAAGTCCTGTGCACCTTTCAGAATATCCCTAAGGGAGGGTGCACTCAACAGMGTAGAATCAACTTTCATATTTATGCATTGCACTCTTCCAAAGTCACACATGCAAGGAAAGAATGCAGCTCCATTCAGTAATATATTTACCATGTATATTTGGCTCCGCTAGTAACGAAATGTGTTTTCTTTCAGTCACACTTGTTCGTGTTGCAGTTAGTGCACCGGCCATCCGTTCGTTCTGTGCTGCAAGGTCTACTAAAAAAACGCCTCCTCCCCGCAGAGCACTGCATCACTAAGAGTGAGTTTCCATTCCGGGTGTGTGTCGGCCCTCTGGAACGCCTCTGTTCTGCTGTGATAAGCTGTTTCTACACAATATATGGTTGCTTACTGAAAACTTCCACCTGCATCTGTCAGGAATTTCCGGAAGTTCATGTACTTAGATTAAATGTTGAGGCCTCTTTTTTTTGGTGGTGGTAACAAAGTAGCCAGGGACCCATGTTTCCAAGTAGGACTTTCTTATTCCAAGCCAATCTCMCTGCTTTCCCCCCATATTTGTATTTCACTTGCTCAAAATTCCTCTTACCTAGAAAGATTCTTATCTGTTCRTTCAGCACTGCTTTAAGGTCTTGTATGGCAGTTACTTGGTTGAGGATTTAGCAGATATGGATGTATGTGATAGCTTGTATGTAGATGGGAAATGTTCTAAAATACATGAAATACCACCTAAGTGGATACATTGCCCATTAAATGGGCCCTTTAAGGTTGAAGTGTTGGTCTTTCAGATTTCTGCATTACTATTTCCAGTGCCTATGTGTTTTCTCACACATACCCACACCTTCTTCCCAAACAGTAAAGAGGAACTTCAGCAGCGTGGCAGCTTCCTCGGGCAAYGCCACCCTCAATGGGGAAGATGGAGTAGAGCAGACTGCTATCAAAGTGTCTCTGAAATGTCCCATCACATTCCGGCGGATCCAGCTCCCAGCAAGGGGTCACGATTGCAAGCATGTACAAGTGAGTAGATGTCAGTGACCAGACACTGTTCCCTCAGCCGTGTTCTTTACAATGCCTTCTGCTTGGTTATTGTATGCACAGACCTAATGAAATGGGATTTTTCTGTGCCTATTAGCCTAATAAGCTTTTGGTAGAGGGAAAAAGTAAGGTATTTGGCTTAGTTTTCAATATCAGTATACTGACTTTTTTTCATTGCCACTTTACTTTTGTTGAATTGATTTGACTAATGCAGTATTTTTACCTTCCCTCCCCCTTTTTTTCCCTTCTTTTTTTTTTTCTCATACATAGTGCTTTGATCTGGAATCCTACTTGCAACTGAACTGTGAAAGAGGAACTTGGAGGTGTCCAGTATGCAAGTAAGTGCAAACATATTACAAGAAATGCACCTGTAAGGACCTGACCAAAATCAAGATGATACTGGCAAAGCTAGGAAAATCATTTATTTGGAGAAAAAAAAGAAAGTTCTAGGAAATAATAAGATGGGTGTACTCCATTTACTTTATAGCATAAAGAAGTCCAGTGGGAATTCTTGCCGCATTGCATGAATTAAAGGAGTATTCTGGTTCTTTAGACATTTTAAGTGAGTAATAGGAAAGGTTTTCTTATGATAAACATAGTTTGCCAGTTCTCGTTGCAGGCTRTCAGTGAGTTGTGTAGAATTAAAAAAAAAAAAAAACTTAAGAAAAATTAAAAAAAAACTTGATTATATTGATGAGACAGTTCTCTACATAAACTAATAATTTGGGAGTTTGTCCTCCTTTAGACTATGAACCATAGGACAGCATGCCATGGTAGAAGAGCTAGTCTATTCTAGAGCTACCTTTGTGTATTTTTCATGCTGTGAAGCAGAAATTACTGAATTTCAAATATGTGGGTGTTAAAATGTTTGGCATCTGCCCGGACTTGTTGGTATAAGAGGCCAAATAGCTCTGTCTCAGCCACTGCTCTTCAAGTCACATAGATATGCAGTTAACGGAGGTTCAAGGAGAGTGGGGCTTCTGGAGACTGCAACATTCACTAGTAATTATGTGGGAAATGAAGTTGGATCCTTCAAGGTCAGAGTCAATGTCAAGTGCAAATTAATGTGTGAGCTGAAAGTGGGGAGCATTCTCATTAAGAATAAGGTAAAAGCTTTCTGAGAAATTGTGAATGTGAGTGCTTACTTGAAGGAAAAGAGGGATCCCCGGCATACTTTCCAGCTCGTGTTTTGACCAGAGCGCTARTGCACTTCAAGAAAAAAAGGAACAAAAAGCTTTGAAGTGGTTAGGGAGTGTCCTCTCTAACAGTTAGCTGGATAGGGCAAGCCACAGAGCATCTGCAAGCCAGGGGAGTGTTTGTAACCGACTGTGGCCAGTCCACAGAGTTATGAGTTTTTGCAGCCTCAGCAGAGGAGCAAGTGCTCTTAGGCTCAAGTTAAACTGTAGAGGTTTGTACTTTTATCTCTGCAGGTCTCCAATTCAACCTCTGCTGTGTCAGACAGTGTTTGCTATAAATAAGCAGGTGGGGATTGTCCAGGSTAGCTGCTTCTGTGGACATCACAGGCTTCAGACTAACTTCTTTTGAGGACCTCCCATGGTGGCTGGCTGTCCTGAAGTACAGATCCTTTTGCTCAGCTATTTGAACCCTTGCAGTCTTCTGAGCTTGCCTCAAAATATCACAAGAATTGTGATTGTCTTAAAGACACTAGTTGCTTCTCAATTTATGCAATCAGACCAAAGTTTTTGTCTTGTTACTGTTAGTCTGAGCATGTGAATTAAGATTTAAGTGCCTGCACAACTGAGTTGTTTGTGGTTTGGTTTTGATGTCTCTACTTGTGCTGTTACTGAGTAAAAAGCTGTAATATCTAATTGTTTTGAAACCCTATTGCTATGTGATTTGAAAAAGCCAAGATGTAATTAAAAAAATAAATAAATAAAGTTAGCATTCAAAGGAGAAATCTGTTAGGGTTGAAAAACCTGTAAGTCCCAAACATATTTTGATAAAAGAATGATTTAAAACACATTAACAGGTTGTTCATGGATCCTAATAAATATATCCCTCTGTCATCTTCTTGTTGTAGAAAACTGTTATCCTGGTAACAAAAATGTAGAACTAAAACCATTTGTCCAAAATCATGCCTAAGTTACATGTTAGGAACAGTAAATTGATGGTTACTTTTACATGTACAGTAAATTGATGAACATGAACAGTAAATTGATGGTTACTTTTACATGTACAGAGATACAGAGATGAAGCATAAGAAGTTCCGTCTCCAGGTGAGGAGGAACTTCTTTACTGTTAGGGTGACAGAGCAGTGGAACAGGCTGCCCAGGGAGGYTGTGGAGTCTCCTWCTCTGGAGGTCTTCAAAACCYGCCTGGATGCCRCCCTGTGCCACATGCTGTAGGTGTGCCTGCTTGAGCAGGAAGGTTGGACTAGATGATCTGTAGAGGTCCCTTCCAACCTTAAATATTCTGAAATWTYCTGAAATATTCTGAAATATTCTGAAATATTCTAACTTTTTTTCTTTCCCCTACTTTTTCTAGTAAAACTGCCCTGCTGGAGGGCTTGGAGGTTGACCAGTATATGTGGGGTATTTTGAATGCTATACAAAAGTAAGTGAATTTACTCATTTCTGATATCCAGTGCTAAATATGTGGGAGATATGTGAATGTGGACTGACACAATTGAGCCAAAGTTAGGTCCTGGTGATTGAACTTGAATATATTATTTGATGGCTCCTTGGTGCAGCTGGTGAAATAAACTCGTTTCCAACTGCTTGTYAATAGATCTTGTCTGGGCCATCTCTTGATGGCAGTCCCATCAGTGAAGCAGAGGGAGGAAAAGGATGGGAGAAGGAAATGTTTTCTCATGTTTACAAGCAGTCTGTCTGAATCACATGTGGCAGACCATATAGATGTGTTTGGATTTCATTAGGGTTGCTCTGTGGGTGTGGATAACACAAGCACGCACTCTCGAAGCATTTCTTTTCCAAGCTTGCTTTCAGGATACATTGCTGGATGAAGAGAGCAAGAGGCTATATTATACTCACACAAATGAGAAATGGTTTTGCCTACTCTGCACTTTCGTAGGACAATTTCAGCAAAGGTGATACCAAAAAGAGAAAAATTAATGCTCTAAAATTGTCATGTTGTTTTACAGCTCAGAGTTTGAAGAAGTCACTATTGATCCAACTTGTAGTTGGAGGCCGGTTCCTATAAAATCGGACATTCACATCAAAGATGACCCCGATGGCATTCCCTCCAAAAGATTTAAAACCATGAGTCCAAGCCAGATGATCATGCCAAACGTGATGGAGATGATTGCAGCGCTGGGTCCCGGCCCGTCACCCTACCCATCCCTCCCGCCTCCTCCGGGAGGCAACAACTCCACTGACTATGGCAACCAAGGTTAGTGTGGCAGCTGTGGGTGTGCTGTGGCAGGCCCTCAGGAGAGCACAATGTGCACAGCTGCAGTTCTGCAATCCTGCACCTGGCCTTTCATCGAGGATTCGGCTCTCCAGAGAAAAATGTCTTTTAATAAGCAAATTGGTGATAGTCATGTTACCTTGTATATTGTGACCTGCCACTTTCCTCATGCATTTCTGCCCATATTCCTTCTGTTCCCTGCTGATTCAAGTGAAGGTTCCTGGTGCTACAGTGGTTACAAAGTAGAGAACCAGACCTTTTAGTCCTCGTGCTTGGGTCATTAAAGCTTCTCTGGTGGCCAGGTGGTGACATTAGGAATTATTCCAGGCCGCCCAGAATGTGGATGGCTTAAGAACCCTTTGCTGCTTTGCATTACAAAATGACTTCTACATTTCTCTACCGTGTGTTGCCAGTTTGGGAAACATTGCACTAAATATAGACCGTGGAAATATCTTTTCAAATGACGGGTATATTGTGAATAACTAAATTACAGTGACAATTCTGAAGAGATGAAACCAGAGACTGTTCCTTTTCGAGTAATATGATATGACTCAGTTCAGCTCTCAGAAAAGACCAACTGTTCACACCATCAGAATCCCCAAATTGATTACAAGGTGATATATGTGCTTTTTGCAGGCGTTTGAGGAAAAATATAGATTGCATGCAAAATATGGTTAATTTACTCCAATGACTGCAAAACTGATGACAGATGATAAAACTTTTTASGTTTTCAAACAGATGAATGATTACTATAACAAAGCCAAGAGCACTGAATCACATTTTTTTTCACTCGTTCAGTAGGAGTGAAGTGCATTAAGAACATGAGAACAGAGCCGCCTATTCTTCATCATCTCCTATGCTTTTTATTCAGGAATGGACACAGTAATTGAACACATTAGGGTTTAGGCCTTACTGCCTAGACGGTTGTTTCCCTACGTCCCCTGTAGGTCCTGTAGGAGAGGCAGCCRCTGCTTCCCAGAGTCCCAGCTCATCAGCCCAGGGGAGACCCACACTCTTCTCCCTGTCCTGGCACCGCCACCGGGCGCCAGGTTATCCTGGGTGTCCTTCCAGCGCTGGCACTTGGCACAACGCTGCTCCCGGAGCWGGGCCTGCTCCTGGCTCGCTGTAATCCCTGGGCATTCTGCGTACATCTTCGTTCTCCACCAAGACGTGCAGGGAAGCTTAGTATTGAGAATTATATCATGTCCTCTGATTAAAATCACTCTAGAACAAATAATATTATTATTGCTACTGCCTTGATGTGCATGGTTTATGTTTATTTGAGTGTAGCCAAAAGCGTATGGAAGTCTAATTTGTAAAGAAAGCAAATACATGGTAAGGGAGGACTTTACTCCAGCTCCCTGCTGTTACATTTTCCCCAGGATCAGTTACGTTCTGTGAGACACATCTATTTGCAGATTAACAAAGTGAGAATTAGGAAGGCTCTACAGTATTTACATGATAGATCAAAGTCCTGACTTCTTTGAGATAGACTGTTACATGGCTAATGACTTATTCCTCCAAGATTAAAYTTCTACTTAAAATGAGCTGTGCTGAAAAGTAAATGATGTAGATACTTCAGTCTGACAAAGTGCCCTCTTGACTTGAACATTTAAAGCTGTTCTACTTTAGCTGACAAACTGTGGGCTCTCCCTGCAGGCCCCAAAGCTGTTCTATTATTTCAGAGCTCAATATCATCCATTTGAGTGGTTTATGTGAAGACTCGGTGCCTTCATTTCAGTTTTTACTGTTCATACCAAATAAGCCAGCAGAGYTGGCCTCTCAGTTGGAAGTATTAACAAAGGGACCTGAACAGAAAAGAATATGGAGAGAAAATTCCCTGTGCTCTGGTATATGCTTGCTTCAGAATTAAAGCAAAGGAGCCCGGGCTGAGGTGGTAAGGAGCACAGGCCTGCTGACCATGTTCATACACGTACCTGTCCTCCACGTAAGTGGAGGACTCCAGGCTTGTTACTAAGTACTAAACATTGGAGGATGTAATCCAGACATTTAGTCTGAATTCATGTAGAATTTTGGTACTTCGGTCTCAGACTGAAGTTAGGCAGGTTTCATAAATCAGTGATTTTCTTTTAGGAACTGGCATGTCCACCTTTTAAATCACTGGCTACAGGCAGTGGGTTGGAAACAGTGAAACCCAGAAGAATAGATGTATTCCCTGTAGGGGACCATTGCTTTTGGATTTGCAGACAGCCATGGGATTTTTATTAGGATTTGTGGGAACGAGGAGAAAGGCACCACAGACCCCAGTTAGGCAGGACGACCTCCTCCGCATCATCCAAACGGAAGCTGCGCCTTCACACTGAGGAGGAGGATGTAGAGCAGATGCTGTGCTATGAACTGATGCTGTGGCAACTTCCTGATCTGCCAATTAGCTTCATCAGGAGCCGAAGCGATTCTGCAAAGCTGCTGAGTGTGTGGAAGTGCACATGAAAGGAACAGGAATGCCCTGTGTATCATTCTGGACTTGGGCAGGCAGTCATGCTTGCACTGAGATGTCTCCAGGGGCAAATAGCCCACAGATTTTCACATCCCTTTGGTTCCTCATCTTGCTTGAGATACTGGGGGGACTCGCTAGTTTGTCAGCCAGCAGCATCATGTACATGAATTACTACACTGGACTCCTTACAGCCTTGGCAGTAGCCAGTGCCACTTCTTTCTCCCTCTTCCTCGAGCTCTGTCTGGGAGCAGGGCACCACGTGGTTGTGTTCCACATTCACGTTATTCACCTTGCACATAGTGCTGGGCAGAGATGGTGTTRGACTGCCCCGTTTTTAAAAGGCACTGAGGGAGATGGACACCAGGAAGCAAAGGGTTCCTTTCACAGCAACGTCTGTTTCTCTTTTAGGCAACAGTTACCAAGGTCATGGCAATTTTGATTTTCCGCATGGGAATCCTGGTGGAACGTCGATGAATGACTTCATGCACGGGCCGCAGCTGTCGCATCCCCCAGACATGCCAAGCAGCATGGCAGCGCTCGACAAACCTCTCAGTCACCCAATGCAGGAGTCTGTAAGTAACGGTGCTGCGGGTGCCAGTTTAAACTTTGTCGGGGCAGAGAGCGCTTGCCAGACGAGAGGACCTTGCTAGTGTGTTGCTATTGCCTTCTGTGGATTCCTGGCTTTGGCAGCTGTTGAAATAGAGTGGTCCTGAGAAGTGGAGTCAGAAGCACCATCTTCAGTTTCTGGCATTTTAGAGCTTGTGGAGAAGCATTTCTGATCATTTTGAATTGTCATTTAAGCTTGTTTATCTGAGAGAGACAGCCTGGCTCTGTGGCTCTTCTGTTGATCACTGTGCTTTGCTCTGACATCCAAAAAAAAAATTTTTTTTTAAATCCTATTTGTCATTCAACCAGCAGGGCCTGTGAACATCCATCCCAAACAAAGAGCTTGTTATAGCCAGACAGTAACTGACTTCAGAGCAGGGACAGTATCTCCCCTGGCTTTGTCCCTTAAGGCAGTATTTACATCAAAACATTTTGAGGGTGAATTCTACCCAGGCAGAATCACAGACATCTTTAAGCTCTTGGGAATAGGGCACGTCTGTAGCTTTTTAGGGGAGATGTTGCCACTGCTTTGAGCGTGTAGGCGAAGGAAGAATTCGGAAGCTCCTAAGATCTTAGATGGAGAAGCAGAACTGTGCGTTGGAAAGGTAGCTTGCTCAGAACACCAAGCTTTATCCAAGCTACAAAGCTTTATATGCAGAAAATGCAATACTGTAGCAACTAAGGCAACGGAAAAGCTACCAGCAGCATTTAGGTCTTAAGCTTGGCTTGTCATCTCTTTTAGCTGTGTGTGTGTGTGTGTGTGTGTGTATCCTTTTATATTCATTTAAGCTACAGGGAAGGGGTTCCATAGTGTGCTGTTATTGCATAGGAAGGATGTTTAACTTGACAAGTCATCTGTGCCATGTCTTTAGTGAGTACTAGAAAGTACAATTTCAGAATGTAATGAGGAAATGTGGTAGCAGATGCTTAGCACAAGCCTRCTCTGTCAACGTCTCCTCTAGCTGGCAGTGGGTTTTCCATGAAGGATGGTGAGAAATAGGAAGGGAGCAGAGAGGGAGTTCTCAGAATAGCTTGGAGAGCTCCCAAGCAGCAGAAGACTGTCTGCAAAGGAAGAGGCCAGGAGCGGTAACAACTACAGCGACACAGACCATCAAGCAGCACATGGGCTGTAGGCCTCGCTTTGCTTTGGCAAATTCCACCTGCCCAGCCCAATGAGCACTCCAAATTATCTGCAAAAGAGAGGCGAAAAAGAGGCCTCTTTTTTTTTTTTTTAATCACAAAACACCCTTTAAAAACAAAGCCTTAAGGTGGGGTTACCAGTCGACTTCCTCAGCTATAACTGCAGCCACCCTGGTGACATTTCTGAAGTAACTGAGAATGGAGGTGAAGAGCGTGGGGCTGTCTGTAATTTATAGCACTTACAGATAATAACAAGGGCAAAAGTTTYTCAAGACTCTGCATGTTGCAGATCTGTAAGCGGAGGCTGGGGCAAACGTTAAGAGACTTTCRGTTCTCTGGCCAGCCTGTAGTAGATCTGGCACTTGCTTATGACAGCTGGAAGCTGGAATAAACCTTGGCCTCACTTGCTCACCCTCATCCACCGCGATGTGCCGGGTATGCTCCTTGGGACAGGCCCGTGCCACTAGAGCAGCCCGCGCCGAGTTTATGTCAGTGGTTGATTTTSTCTGATAGGGATCAGTTTCCAGGTCCATTGCCACAGAGGAATCACACTGACCTTGTGAATGTGGCCAGAAAGTCTTCAGGGTGCATTTGAAGGACTGTTAGTGCTTTAACATAGTTATTTCAGTTCTATAAAGTCTCTGCTTTCCTCTTTCCTTTTCTACCATCTTCCTTTCTTCTCCTTGAGACAGGGAGGGTGGAAAAAAAACAAAAAATGCTGCCTGTACCAAACACTTATGAAACACAGCTTTAAAATTACTGCTTTTTGAGAAATGCATGACTTTAACACATTTCTTAAATTGCATAACTGAATGTCTTCAGGCAGGCATCTTCATATTAAAATAACTATAAATCACACTGCCTAATTGGACTATAATTGTGAGAGATTGGCTGTGCTGTCTTGTTTTCTGTCTCTGTGCATTTAAGGGGGTGCTTTGTTTTCATCTGCTGTTCGCTTTGACTGTTTCATGTTTATAGGGTCAGTTGGGATCAGACGTTTGATCCGTTTAGACCGGTGGCCTGTCTCTAGGTGAACCTGCCTGCTGCTGGATGCTGCCCAGGAAACTGTAGTTTTCCCATTATGAAGATTTATGTGGGTGCCTTCCCACGGAGGTAGACAGAGCAAGTTGTTCACCCCACACATACTCTGTAGGTCACTCCAGGAGATGCAGGTGTGTTTGTCAGACGTGAATAGGGCTGGTGGCAGGGACTGGGTGGTTGGACCTATCTTCTGCCAGCAGAAGAACTTGCAGCTTCTGTGCCAGTGTCAGTGCTACAGGACAGCAGCACACAACTGCAGCATTTATTTTCAGAAATTGCCGACAAGTTTTAGGCAATGGTGAATTCGGGGGTGCGGGTGAGCAGGCAAGAGCTGGGCCCTGAGCGAGCACAGGGCCATCAGGCCATGGTTTCATGTGCACGTGAGGCTGGTACGAGCTGGGACTGCTGTGAAGGGATCGTTCTGGCTTTTATCTTCACCTTCCCTCTCTCCTACACCAACACAAGTGTTAATGCAGCCATGAAGTGACATCGATCAGGGTAGCGATGTGGCTCAAAACTAATCCAGCAGACGCACAGAATGTTTAGCTTGGATCCAGGGATGCATCCCAGCACTCCTACAAGTGTAGGCTTATAAAGAGCTATGTTGGTCTCCTGCTATTAATATGGAGATGCAGTTGCTTCTGCTGTAAACTTTTGTTTTACAGATTGTTAATGATTTTTTAAGAGCGCCAGAGCATATGCTCTTAAAAAAAAAAAAAATCTCTGGAGTTACTGTGTATATGTGAACCAAAGGCAACTTCATTAGACTTCATATTCACATCATCATGCAGAGCAGTGATTTTAAAATAAAAAGATGAGCTGAAGATGCCCAGATGACTTTGTTTTGGATATTTCTGCACCACTGTTACCTTGCACTTTGGTAGCTGAATACTAATAGAAAATATGCTAAACTCACGAGCATTTAGCTTTCTTACAGGTGGGCTGGTGGATATATTGTCTAGGGTGACTAGTATGTTAAGTAACATTCCATGAGAACCCACATGACAGCATTTATTCCAATACCTTTTTGTACATATTTATACACATTTATAAAAAAATCTAACCTGTTTACCTGTTCTGAGATTATATGACTTTTTTTTCTTTAATAAGCATGGCAGTATGACTTGTACTTTGTGTATTTGAGGATAAATTGAGACTTTCTGAGATAATCCTGTTCTGTTTTTTTTTTAGAAACTCTTCTCTTGCTTTAGCAACACTGTCTTAAATTGCTTATTGCTTTCTGTTATTAGTAAACCTTCTTAATTTCCCACACTGTTGCACATGTCCTCAATGAATAGAGAAGGGAGCTGGACAGGAAACCAGTTTGGGGATGTGTAAACTGGGCATCTACTTTGACTTGCCCGTTTGCAAAGGTTCTAGGCTGCACATTCATTTACGTTAAGGTGAGGCTTATGGGCAGATTTTGTACAAGTTTTCCCCCAAGGTAACAACAGGGATGTTGTATAATAGCTTCCAAGGAGTAAAAAACTGTGACGAAGCTGGAGAGAATAGTGTCTTTACTAGTACCTTTAACAGTTGTTTTAAACTCTCAAATGGGAAAGAGGCCTGAGTAACTGTTAAAGAGTTTCCTGCTCGCTTTCACCTTTATGCTGCTAATCTATTGCCAGGGACCTCCGCAGAGTTGAGAATGACTGTCCCAATGCATCAATATTCAGTTTTCAAAAGTGTGGAGAGGTGATTTTTCTGTTGCCTGTTTCTCTTTKWTTTTTTTTTTTTTTTTTTTTTTTTTAGTATTATTACTTTATGGAAACATTTTAATTAAGCTTTGTAATAACCTCCCTTTTACTTGCCAAACTCGAAGACTAAGGTTAAAATAACCTTGCCGTTTGCTGTGACACAAAAGGGTCAATGCTGGCATAGTGTTTTGCTGGTTTCTGTTGCCTTGGCTGGACGAATTTCACGCTGTGGTTGTATGCATCTGTTCTTTTATTTCAGCTCCACTCTGTGGCAATATGTAGCATTCCTCAAGAAATGTTTACATGTTTTGCTTCTCCATATACCCAATTAACATGAGACGACTGATTCCCAAATGCTCATAGACTGTTTCCAGACCGCAGCAGCGCGTGCGTTGTGCCGCTTCCCTGCAATGTGGGAAACACCTTCCTCCTCCTCCTTGCCTAGTAGGGTTTGGAGGGTGTGCTCGCTTTGCTGGCTCATTCCCACCGGAAAACACAAAAACAAACGTGTATTTTTACAGCCTGTYTATCACGGCGCGTTTCCTCTGGCATTGGGATATGGAGCTTTCGTTTCTGAGTGTGTTTCTGTTGTCGTTTTCCCCCGTGTTGCCCCTCCGCGTGCCGGTGCGGCCCGTGCCCTCGCGGCGGCGCGGTCGCGGCGTGCGGCGCCCCGCGCGCCCTGCCTCGCGGCCTCACTTGTCTCTCCCTGCTTCTCTCCTCCTCCGCAGATGCCTCATGGCGGCAGCGCTGATCAGTCCCATAGCTCCATGCAGCAAGGTTTGCACGTGCCTCACCCCAGCAGCCAGTCAGGGCAGCCATTACATCACAGCGGGCCTCCTGCGCAGCCGCCCCGGCCGCCGCCGCCGGCCGCCGCCGGCAACCATCCGCACGGTGACCTGACCTTTAATCCCTCCTCAGCCTTAGAGGGTCAGGCTGGCGGACAGGGAGCACCCGACATGCCGGAGCCCTCGCTGGATGTAAGTGTGCGTCATGAGCGCCATCCGCCTGCCGTAGCGTTGCGCTTGCCGCCGGGCGGGCGGGCGGGTGGGCGGCGGGAGCGGGGCCGGGGCCGCTCGCTCCGCACATGCCATCGATCCATGCTTGGGCGCCGGGACGTGCCCGCCGCGGCTGAGCTCCCCTCCCGGCTTGCTCTGAGGCCTCGCTCTGCGAGGCGGCTGCATGGCGCGCCAGCCGCATCCTCTCTCCAGCGCGCAGGCAGGACGCCCCGGGACAGCGACGGCCGCCTCCCTGCACCAGGCCGAGGCTGGACCCTGGAGTCGTCGCGGGGCCTGATCCGCAGGAAGAAGCCAGTGCCGTCTCCATGTGGCGCCTGGCGCCCTCCCGGCCTCCCGGGACACACGGGGGCCACTGCTGCTCGACACGCGCCTGTGCTGCTGCACCGGCAGCAAGAGCCCTCCTGCGGACACGCGGAACTGCCGTGGGGCGTTCCCGGCGGGAAGAGGCTCTGCTCACTGGTGCCCAAGCTCTTCTCAGTGGCGCCCAGGCTCTTCTCAGTGGTGGCCAGTGACAGGACAAGGGGGAATGGGTGCAAAATGCAACACAGGCAGTTCCATCTCCATGTGAGGAGGAACTTCTTCCCTGTGAGGGTGACAGARCCCTGGGACAGGCTGCACRGGGAGGTTTTGGAGTTCTCCTTCTCTGGAGGTYTCCAAACCCTCCTGGATGCCACCCTGTGCCCCGTGCTCTGRGTGTCCCTGCTGGAACWGGAAGGTTGGACTAGATGATCTCTAGAGGTCCCTTCCAACCTTGGACATTCTGTGAGTCTGTGAAGAAGAGCCAGTGGCAGGGACTCTCTGCTGGTACCTAAGACAGCTCACGACTAAGCAAAGATAAATTCATTTCCTACCTTAAGGACAAAAGTAACACCTGTCTCTCTTGCTGTCCATTCACTAGTGCTGGAAATGAGTTATACTGAGGAGTCCTTCTGGTTGACCAAATATAGTGCCGARTTTAACTTTCTTAGGGCTAGGGCTGGGTTTTCCTTTGAACCATGTCCTCCCACACTCATATCGGCTGTCTACCCCAAAGACTGTAGCACAATGTAATTTTCTTAAAGACATCCTCACCGTTGTGCTTCAGATGTACGTTGGAATCTCCAGTTGGGGTATCCTTATGTGTCCCCTGTCGCAAAGCAGCCCTGTGCCCTGCAGTAGGCTCCCAGAGGGAAGGGAAAGCAGGAAGGGGAGCCCGGGACACGCCAATTCCTGTGATATTATCTAGGTGGAGAAACTGCTAAGTGAAGCGGGCTTGGCTGCTGTGTCACACAACAGYGTCGCCTGGAAATCCATAGGGAACAGGAGGTCATGTGGCAATTAGAGGTCTGCACCCCGCAGGAACCTATATGATAAATACTAAGAGGTCAATTTGAAATGTCATTTTCTCTTCATATTAGTATTTAAGTAACGTGAAGCACACTGTTATGGGCCAAACACTCATTCTTTGGTGAAAAGCACAGTAGAAAAACCTGTGCATTTTATCACAGCACAGTGTTATCACTGATGGAGTCACRCGGGATCCCTAGCAGGACACTGGAATTATCTTAGGGGAATGAGGAGGTCAGAGCTGTAGAAGGCTGGGCGTGGAGTTCTGTGAAGCAAGTGAGAGCTCAACTACGATCAGATGGATTATTTTAGTGGGTTTAACAGCTCTGCTGTGTCACGGAAGGGGCCGAATGGAAGCCCGTGCCAGCAGYGGGAGGTTCTGGAGGTCCTCACGTCCTTGATCCTCATCTCAKAAACGTTCCTCCCGTCCTTGGTCTAGTTCTATGGCAGTGACTTTTCTGCCTTTCCATGTGTGTTCTTGAATGAAAGGTGGAGGTGTTTCAATAGAAAAAAATCCTCTGAGATTCAGTTTATATAAACTTGACATCACCTGTAAAGAGAAAAAATGAAAGAAAGGCTTAAGAAGTCTTAAACTTTTTTTTACATTTCATGTTTAGTTTATTTAAAAATATGTTCATCCMTTTCACATTAAAAGAAGAAGCTGCATTTGCACGGGAGTACTACAAGGATGCAGGTGTGTAATACTAGCATGCTACATGTGCAGCAGTCAAGCGTCTAGCTTTTCAGCATTTGAAACCATAGAATACCTTGAAGTGAAGTTCTTGTAGGCACTGTTGCTTGTATTAAAGCAGCCCATATTTTCTGTCATGGCCGTAAGAGGACACTGGGTGTAAAGGGAGATTATTACAAACTCTGCCCTGCCGTTTTTTAAACAGGACACTTTGGCTTTTACCAGGACACGGTGAGATGCAGAGTAAACGGCTGTTTTACAGCACCCGCTAGTTACAGTTTGCTTGTAGGCTGTCAGATCAAAAGGGATCCGAGTGATGTTGGGAGATAACATTTTCTGTTTGGAACACAGCATTTGGAGCAAATCAGAATAAAAAAAAMCCAATCCTTTGGATACGTCCACAAGTGGCGGAAAGGAGCAGCGTGCCGGTGGTGCCGCACGTGGGGCCGCGGCTTGGGGAGGCCGTGAGCTCCGTGCTGGGGGGAGAGCAGCAAATCCTGCCTGGGAGGWTAATGCGGCTCCCGGGATGAAGGAGGAGTCGCGCAGGGTTTCAGAGCCCGGTGTCCACTGCATCAGCTTAGGGTGTTGGGTTTGTTTCACTGCCTTCTGATTGATTCAATGCACATGAAAGCAATTTTCCAGGAATGTGCAGYGTTTAATCCCTTTTTTCAACGTTGCGTTTCTGTTATCTGTAATTTTCCTTTTATCTTTATATTTTATAGCTGCTTCCAGAACTCACAAATCCAGATGAGCTGCTTTCATACCTGGATCCTCCCGATTTGCCAAGCAATAGCAATGATGACCTTCTGTCCCTCTTTGAGAACAACTGAAACCCTGTGTATTCCCCCATCCCTTTCACTTGTTCACACGTGTGTGGCTGCACAGCGAGGAATCTTTAACACTCCTTTTCCACAAAAGAAAGAAGAAGAAAACCTCACAACTCGATCCAATGGTGCACTCCCTGCTTTCTTCATCTCAGAACTGCTTTTGTCAGCTCCACAGACTGTGAAAGTGCTGGGAGGAACGCGTACAAAAGCCGCAGCAGCGCCAGAGCCCGCCGTGCGCCCCGTCACAGCGAAGCAGAGACGCTTGTGCCGCTCTGGAAACCCCACTTGTTGTGCATCCTCTAGAGAGAGAGTTCTGTGATAAACATAGTGTGAAGTATCTCGGCAAAAGCAAAATCTTGGCAAGGGAAGAAAAGGCAACAAAATGGACCTGTCTTTAATYGACCAGTCTCAGAATGTCCTTCCAATGCGCGTTCTTCCATTTTTTTGAAACTGTCTCTCCCCATCCCCTTGCCCTCAACCCCCCGCCTCCAACCACAGGTTTGTGTTGGAGCCGTTGTCCTGGCCACACGCTGACAAAGAGAGTCCAGCCCATCTAAACCTCCCAAAAGCACAATGGTACCGCAGAGGGGCAGCGACAGGGCAGGAACACAAGCTCACCAGAGGGGCACAGCAGGTAGCCAGCCCAGCACCGGCGCCCTCACGGCCTCCAGGCTGCAGCCGTGTGTGTTTGTCTCTGTAACGTGCAGGAATCTTCGCCACCTCTTYGCAAAGGATTCCTCTGCTCAAACACACAGATTGCGGAAAAATAAAACAAAAAATACTTTCAGTTTTTAGCTCTTTTTTTGCGGGCTTGGTTCCAAATCGGCACCATTTCCAGCTGCATTACCACCCAACTGTTGAGACTGTTGTAATAGATAGATCCTTTGGCTGCGTATTCCATACAAAATGGAGAAGCGAGGGGGGCAGAACAGGAACCATCATGCTCTCGATTTTCACCCACAGCCTTGGGCTCTCTCAGCGTTTGTGTCGTGCTTTGCACKGCACAATCCTTAGCAAGACGAGCTGGGAGGAAGGCAGGCAGGGAATCGCAGCAGGATGGACGGGGGGGAGAGTAACATCCCTATCTGCATAATTATTTTTACTAATCGGCTTGAAAAGGGGCATTGAAATTGGACAGACATTTTACAGCTTCTCTTTTCSTTTTGCTTTGCATTCTGTTCTCATGACTGTTACAGATAATCCAGGCTTTTTCCCCCTTTTCCTTTTYGCCCGTAGCTGCCAGGATGCGCTCCTTCTCCCGAAGGAACGGGCATGGGGAGCATCAGTAGTTGCTGGTGGATGGCTACTGCCCTCCAGAGCCCCCGATGCCGCCGTCTCGCCCCCGTGGTCTGTGCTTCTCGTGTGGTTGCTTCTCCTGCATGAGCTTCCGATCGCTTCTGTGCCCATCTCTGTGCTCTTCGTCTCTCTCTCTCTTATAAATTATGTACAGTAGCAGTGTAAGAAGTGCATGTGTGCCAACTCTGCCCTCGTGGTGCAACATTTCAGCTTCTGCCCACCGTACGGTTCTTGTTTTGGTTTCTTTTTGTTACTAAAGCAATTTAGACCCTACTCCTTTCCCAGCTCCAGGCGAATACCCGTTCCGTGCTCGCAACGTTTCCAACTTAAGTGCCAGACAAAATCCTGTCTGTTCCTATCTGTTTGACTCGGTAGTTTGTTGGCCCTTTGTGTTCCGTTTGCAATGCTGTAAATGGCATGCTCCCTGCTTGCGACGCTGGATTTGCTTTCCTCACCAAAGTCATGTTTGTAAATTCTTTGCCGTTCTTGGTTTATTTTGCCTTTTTTTTTTTTTTTTTGTTAACGTTTCCACCTACTGCTGTACATGCGTCGTGATATATATATGCTAGTCAGCAGCACCTTGCTGTAGATATTAAAGGAAATGGCGGTTTAGTTCTTTTGTTTTCCAGTAGGAGTATTGAATCTGTCAAACATATTATGTAGAGATGGTCCCACACTTATATTTTTCCTGTTTCAAGTTTTTTTAAGAAAGGCGCTGTTCATTATGCAAAATCAATTATTTTAAGAATTGCTATTGTAAATATCTCTGTGAATATTTTAGTATTGTCTTTGATAATATTCAACATTTTCATGATCTGGTTATACTTTTGCTGGTGTTTTTAAATACCTTGTCTGAAGAAAAATATGGGTCCTTTTTTAAAAAAAAAAAAGACAATTTGAGGGTTCTTTAACAGAATAAGGGAGGTCTTTTTCTGTTTTTTTTTTTCTTTTTATTATTATTTTTTTCCCCAGCCCCTTTTTCTTTCGATAAACTAGCCCCAATTCGGTTCCCGCCTCCGTGCCGAGCTGCTGCGTGGGGCGCTGCCGGGAGGCGCAGGGCCCCGCTCTGCCCCGCGGACGCGGCCCGGGGCGAGAGGAGCCCGCGCGGGTCCCCCCAGGCAGCACGTGGCCTCGGAGCGGCTCCCCGAACAGCTTGGGATGCGCTAAGGCAGCGCGCACACCAGGTACCGCCTTTAATCATCACCTTCATTATCACCGCCGTGCACACCGGTGCTGCGGGCGCTGGGGCACCCCAGCCCCGAGGGTGCTGGGGGGCGCGGGAGGGAGACAGCAGAGAGCTCTGGATTCTGCTTAGAAGTGTCTGTCTTGTGCAGGCRCGACCAGCTGCAGAGCATCTCTGCAGGGTGTTAAAGACACCTTGGTGCAATACCCGCCCCTGCGGTTGTGGTGCGGTTCTGCTGTCACACAAGCGCTTGCAGAGGCCGTTCTTCAGTTACAGACGTGTTTCTGTAGCCGTTTCCCCTTGTATTTTTGCTGCGTTGTTTGKAAAGGTATTGGAGTCCTTTGCACGGGGGGCTAATGATGAAGCGACTTWATGCCCTTAGAGTTTGGCTTTGGGGTTGGTTTTGTTTGGGGAGGGGGAGTTTCTCAAGCCATAGATTTGGAATAAAGTTTTCTCACGATTAGTTGGAACTGGCTGCTCAGATTTTTTTTTATTATTATTTTTAACTGAGTCTATTTAATGTTCCGCCCTCCACTGTTCCCCGAGTAGCTGGGACACCTGAAATGATTTTTCTCTAAAATAAAACATGAGCATTTTAAACCAGCTGTGTTAAGGACTGACTGCTTGTTAACTGGGAATACTTAAAATGTATCGTTTAGAAATATCTGTTGGCAAGCATAAAGGGAAAAAAATAAAACAAACATAGATGCTAGCAATATGTTTGGGGCAGTGTTTGTGTCTGCTTCACATGGTAATTGAGAAGAGAATGGTTGAAGTTTTTAAGTTTTTAGAAATTTTTGGTTTCTAAGCAGGAGTTAGAGAAAAAATACAGTTTTTACCCATCACCCAAATGGTGGACATTGAGACAGTTTTAAAGCTCTGTCACCTAGAATCAGGTACTATATAGTGGATTCAGTAAGAAAAAAACCTTCTAAATCAAACTTTAGGGTTTTTTTTTTATCTTTTCACTGCCATATTAAAGTTTAGAGAAAAAAAAAAAACTAGCAAATAGGGTAATCACAATCATTTTCTTTTAAAGCGTAATTACTATATGAAATTCCAGTAGTATTTTTATTCTTTTTTTGTTTGTTTACTTTTTAATTGTTTCCCTATGGAAGCTCATCTGGGAAAGAACCCACAGAGATCTACAGTTCTGCTGCCAAGACATTATTATAGGACTGACAGATAGACGCCAATGTCTGCAGTGGAGACTCAAGGGACATCTGTACATATGTAAATGACAAATAGAGACATGTTAACAGAAATGCATTCATTTTCCTTGGAATGTGCATTGTTTTTATTTCGCAGGAAAAAAAAAAAGGCTTGAAGCTCCATCTTATGTGGAAAATGAATCCTGTTTGTTAGCGTTCGTGAAGTCTCAGCATTTGTTTCACTTTCACTTCTGTAATATACTCTGATCCTTTGTTTTGTTTTGTTTTATCTACATGTAATATTTAGCTTACGTGTACTAGTCTATCACCTGTGTATTTTTAGGGTGCTACAGAAATAATGAAGAAAAATAAGGGGATTAAAAAAAAAATTGTAACCAAATTCATACTTTGTACAATTTTTGATATCATGATCAGAGGAAAATTAAAAAAAAAAAAAGTACAATCTGAAATAACATGCAAAAATGGCCATTGTCTTTGTTTGTACATTGTATGTACAGTACAATGCAATCATTTCATACTTTAAACTGGTCAGAAAAATAATTGTGATTTTTAGTCTTGCAAAACTGTATGTAGTTAGATGATGTGACAACCTAATATTTATCTAATAAATATGTATTCAGATGAAACCTGTATATTAGGTGTTCATGTGGTTATTTTGTATTTAAAGATCAAATTATTTGACTATTGCTAGACATTTATATACCCTGTTGTAACACTGAAGTATTCTCATTTGCTCATGTTATTTTTTTTTTCCTAAATAAATTTGCAAAATGAAGGTCTGTCTAACTGGCAGGTGCTTTGTAAATTCCCAGTCTCCTGAAGCAGCCACGTTCCCCCTTCTCCTCCCTGCTTTGCACGTTAGCTTGGGAGTTACTTGTGCAGGGAGCTGGGCAGGAGGAGGTAGAAGGTATGAGCAAGGATGGAAGAGGTAGACGGTATGAGGAAGGATGGAAGAGGTGCGGAATAGGAGAATCTGGATTTGTTGGCAGGCACAGCAGCACACGCAGGGGTCCTGGGTGCCTCCTCTGGCCTCCGCCTGGCCAGCCCAGCAGYTGCATTCGGAGGTGCTGGTAGCTTTGCCTTGAGGAACAAACTTGTTCAGAGATGGGCATTACGTTCTATAGGAACAACAACTGCTTCCACGCAAGAGCATCCAAACGAGGTTATAATTTGCACGTAGTAGTTACAGCGCACAAGTCCTCACAGCTTTCCAAGTTGCACTTGGTGGGTAAGTACAGAGAGAACCAGACGAGACRTGTCTTTCCTCAAAACTTGTTCCTGACTCTCAACTTCTGCTGCCTTTGCTGACACTGCCCCTTAAGATAAGGTAAGAGCGGTGAGTTACAGGGCCCTCAGTAGTGAAACAGGGAACAGTATTTATCCTTTCCTGTCACTAATTAACGAGTACTTTGTTCTTGGTGTTGTGTTTGTTTCCCTGGAAGCTCTCAACAGGGGCTGGTGGGACAGTGTGCACGCCTGCTTCAGCACTGCAAAGACGGAGGGAAAATACTTCCATTGGAAAACGTGAGCGATGTCCCTAAGTGCTGGATGTGTTCTGAGCTTATTGGAAGTTTGGGAAGGCTGCAGCCGGTGGACGTGGAGTTTCCCCAGCCGGCGCCGTGTGGACTCCCGGCGAGGTAGGGCCTGTACATCCAGCTCGTGCCCCTGTGTCCCGTTGCACGTCCTGCCAGGGTTCCTGCGCGTGCTGCTCGCTCTTTGTGTGGTTCCCCCCAGCCACGTATGTTTGTATCCGTCTCTGATTCCTGTCCATGGGAATCACTGCTGAGCAGCTCCGGAACACGCTCAGTTGCCAACGTCTTTCTGTGCTCTTCCTACTTAGTGCAGATCTCTGAATCTTCTCGTTTCTGTTGACTTTTGCCGCTCACTTCATCCGGCCTTTCATGGGAGCGAGAGGCCCCGTCTCCAGCTGGAGACCCGGCCTGGGTGCCGCCGCTGTGGCCGCTGTAGGTGCTGGGCCTGCTCCGTGTCAGCAGAGCTGCTCTGTCTCCTTCAGAGGAGCAAGCTGGACAGCACACACAGTGACGTAACGTTCTCGGTTGTTATCCTTCATTGTCTTCCTTGTTTTTCTCTTCAAGAATAGTTAATGGTTTGCTTATTTTTTGTATCTAGCCTCTTGTTTGCATGTGTCTCAGTTTCCAGTCATGTACACTTGAACTTCTCCATTTCCCCTTCTGAATTCCTACCAGAAGGTCCCCTTGTTAGGGCTCCCCACTTCTGTGTGGCGGGAATGTGACCARTTCCATGTGGGATGCTGCTCCCCGTGCCTGTGGCCGGGTCTGGCCACTATTCACAYGAGGAGCAAAGGGTTTGTTAGGTGGGAACCGACCTCCACGTCTGCTGTRGAGGAACCTGGTCTCCATCAGTGCACTGAGTTTTCCAGAGGGAGGTAAAACTGGCCTGCGCAGGAGCCAGCCAGTTGTGCTCCATGAGAATTAAGTCACGGTCCCTGCAGGGCCTCGCGGGTGACTTGACGAGGAGGGACCCGCGGGATGGTTTGCTAGGTAGTTAGTCCTCATTTCCAGCGACTGCCTCCCTAAATTAGGGTAAACTTGTTATTTATGCTTTTCTTTCTGCTAAAAACATTCTGTTTTCTTACTGTGTGTACTAGAAGGGATTCAGCTCTTTCACCTGATCCGCTTGGTTTGTCCAGTATCTTTCCAATTACTGTTCTCTATATATTTTTGATAGACGCAATATCACATATTCATCAGTAAAGTTTGKTTCTCTAGAATACCTACATAGTTTCTTTATGCTTATGGTTTCTCTATGCTTGTGTGCTTTTATTAGACATTGTAAGAGAGTCAGGATTATAAATCCTTTTTTTTTCCATTCAGATCAGTGTGTTGAACAATTCTATTTTTTATACTATTGTATAATATATATTATATTTTTTATACTATTATATAACTATTATAGTCTAGACTTCCTTGTTTGCCAGTATTCATTTGGGAATAGGTGATAATGTTTATTGGATCTTGTTAAATCATTCTGGAATTCTTTGTTTCAGTTGCTACCTGTTCACCTATGAACATATAAATTATTGGGAACCCAGAGTTACTTCCAATAAACATGAAGAAAAGTTTTCTGTTTGTTTGTTTGTTTGTTTGTTTTTAATTTAAACTGCTGTTAGGGTTTAGTTTGTCCTCATTTGGTTTTGAAAAACTATTAAAATACTCCCGTACTTAATGAAAAATATTTTTAATGTAATAGCTAGTAGGATGAACACTTGTATTGTCGTTTTTGGAAAGAAAACACAGAAGAAGTTTCCGTGTGGGAAGTTCTGAGGACAGACATACCTTGGAAATGAAAACTTT